TGTGTGTGTGTGTGTGTGTGTGTGTGTGTGTGTGTGTGTGTGTGTGTGTGTGTGTGTGTGTGTGTGTGTGTGTGTGTGTGTGTGTGCTCGAACAATGAACGGCGACAAACACCTTGCCATGGCCATTGTCGCGCGGGTCGTCCCAGGTGATGTGAAAATTATATGTTGGTCGTACAAAGGCCTCCGACGTCCTTGGCTCCGCCCCCGACACGAAAAGGAGAAAAAAAAATTCGGTTCAGTTTTTATATTGTTAGACACCTGAATCCTTTGTGCCCGTCCGATTGTTGTACACATTATATAGGTACGTGTTAGTATATACGTATATGTATTTTTATACGCGTTATTATTATTATTATTTTCGTGCGAGCGTGCGTGCCACACCGCGAATATAATAATAAATAGTTATAATAATAATAATAATAATAATATATAAAAGCCCTTTTTACGATTGTCGAACTGATTGATTGCGACCAAACTACACTCACCGCGTTGTTGAAAATATTATAATAGTATAACAATAATAATAATAATAATAATAATAATAATAATAATAGTAGTTGTAGTAGTAGTAGTAGTATTGTACAATGATGATGTACGTTGGAGGTAATTGGAGGTGGGCGGGGGTGATGGGCAAACGTGAATCAAGTCGCTGACCGAGCACTTGTTCCGCTGACGAGTGTATTATTAATATTATTTGTTTTTACACTGGCCGAAAAAACGACGTGAAACAAAAATACGCTCACAAAACGTTTTTGTTCGGCCCGGAACAATTTATTATCATTATTATTACTATTGTTAGAGGTGGTCCGAAATTGATCCATCAATAACTCTGCTTTATAGAATGACAACGAGGACGACGACAACGAAATATTATTTATAAAGCCCGGCTTATATAATATTATTATTATCATCATAATAGTTCAGCCACAATCGACAACAATGACACCTAAAAATGGGGTCCGCGCGAACGACATTGTGTCTAATATGAATTGTATTTCGATAATGAATTCATGTACAAATGTTTGTTTTTCAAGAACAACGACACTACAACACTGCCGAGTGCAGTTGTATTGATAGTTATAATGATAATAATAATAATAATATTATAATGCGTTTCCCGCACGGTTTACCGCCGCCGAAGGAGTTCCCAAGATGTTGACCTAGGTATAGATGGGCAGATAAGTACCTAGGTGGTATACTTCGGTATAGACGAAATTCATCATTCTGTGTGTGTGTGTGTGTGTGTGTGTGTGTGTGTGTGTGTGTGTGTGTCGTTTTTGACATTTTCAGTGCGACCAATGTGTCAACAGATGTCAGGCGTCAGCAAATGATCGATGGTGAATCATTTCAATTCATACCCTATGACCATGATATTGTTCAAATTAGTCTAAAAGAGAATAATGACTTTGCTAGGTAAACATTTTTATCCGAAATTGTCCTACGAGTTGGTTCCCAATTATCGATTACAGGTAACATACGAATTGGTTCCTGGGTTCTCTGTGTGCAACGCACGAACTAGTCCCGATGAGCTTTCATAGCGATAAAAATTAAATTGACTTTTCAAGTTGTTATGATAATCTTATATTCAACCAACAAAAATGTCTTTCCCATTTTACACAAACTTAAGACCGTCTAGAAAGATGTTGCAATAGTCAGTCTACATTGTACGATAAATGTAATTATTATGCATTTGTCAATGCTAATGATAATATCAGTATTCGTATTGACATATTGTATCATAATAAGTGGATTGATTACAATAAATAATAATTAATGTTTTTAAATAAATTAACAAATTAATATTACGCATTTATATAACATATTATATTTTTGACAAATTCTCAGTTCAAAACATGGCAGTCGTTCAATTTTTTTAAATTATCGCTAAAATAAACCTTTCCTTTTCAGCGATCTATTAGATATATTTTATTTAATATCTTTACCAGACCTTAAAATAATAAAACTTAGTAAAATATCATAAAAGAGTACTAGATTACAAATTGTTATAGATGAGAACCAACTCGAACAGTTGTATAATGGTCGTCGATAAGTAATTTTTATCGTGAACCATTTGTACAATTTATTTAGTCCGGGAACCAATTCCGTATTTAGCCCTATAAACTAGTTCAGTTCTTCTATGCTCTTAAGTAAACACAATATTTGTAATATAACTGCGTAAGTGCCATTTTATATAAATTGTTTGGTTGTAAAAATAAATAATTATAAAAATCGGTACAATTATAACTGTTTTGAAAGAAACGTAAATAATATGGTTTTGATGGGGCTGACCGGCTGAGCATCGAGTTATGTACTTAAATAAAACACTTTATACTCATAAGTATTTAGATTTAATTCACATTTGTTTATTATTATTTATCATCTACCTAATTATTATGAATTACGATCAAATGTTGATGTATACATACATATTTTTGAAACATTAAAAATTAACTAAATATCGTTTGATATGACATATTATTTGCTCTTATCTATCTGCACTATGTTTGATTGATATTTAATGACAATGTACAGAATATTTTAAAAATATTATACATTTATAAGTTTAAAAGGAATAACATGGGGAAATATGCAATTGTTTTTTGTTCCAACGTTTACTTGATTTAAATTTCAAAATTGTAGCAAAATGTTGAAACCGTTGCATTAATAAATTATATTATTTCCAATACCTATACTATTATTATTTCAATACGGAATGATTTTTGTATCACACTTATTTTTCTACTGGATTTAGCAAGGACCCTTCTTGCCTTGATGCACCCATCAGTTTAGTTCATAGTGTGAAAACTTGTAGATAGAAATCTGTAGTAAAAATGTGATGATTCATTTCAGCATTCAAATCTATCGAAACACCTAGGATAATAATATGACAATGACCTACTCGCGATAACGAGGTGTACACTTGAAACCTAACCTATACTCGTATACGTATGTGACAGAGCGACTTGCTCGGGTTTTTTTTTTTTAAACATTATTCCATTTTATCAGTGACATACAGCGCATTGTCGCTAGGCAATGGCTTATCGTTGCTGTCGTAACGTTTTTTGTTGTACACAATGTTGTTGCATATTAAAATATCATATTACAAAAATTCAAATCACACTATCGTGCAGTTCACGCAGAGGTTTCGCGGACTAGTCGGTGACAGTTTACACTATTATTATCATCGTCGACCGGCGTAATGATTACGTACGACACATTATTGTGTTTTTCGATGATTTGCAGTTCCACCGTCGTCGTATTCGCCTCGTAAGTGTACTTTTATTATATAATAAAATATTGTAATACGACCATTATAATAATACATCAAGGTAGAGAAGTGCACAATTCGTTAAGTTGGTTGGATGATAATGTTTTTAGTTTTAGTAGATATACTTTAAATTTCAAACTTTCATTTTTTTCACCTTATATTCAATTAAAAGTAGAAGATTGGCCCGCCGGGATACCGAAACGTTGCCTGGTGGGCTCATCCTCGTATTATAACTCTGGGCCGGTGTACTTGGATTGAAAGTTATTCGATAATAGTTAACTGCTCGTCATCTTGGTTTGTTGACGTATCACGATTTTGGCTGCAAATTCAACTGCACTCTATGTGGCTTACATAAATTAATTTGTTAATTAATTTATTTTCAGACTGTTAAAACTTGAAAGCGAACCATTTTTAAAGGGTAGAATATATTGCTGCGTGACTGAGTTTGAATAGTGGCTGATTATTAGTTTGCTTGAGTTCTCCTAATGTCTTAGGTAATAGAAACTGCGGCTAAGAGTTTTGGAAATCCGTAACGTTATGTACATAAGCGCAGTCAACGTCACTTTATTTTGCGATCAAAAATGTTTCAACTCCTAGGTATGGTCATATAAATCAAAAAAGGCGAAAAGAAAATTCACTCAGTACCGAAAGTCTAATTTCAATTTTGAAAACATGTTTGAATTTCTTATTCTCTTCACTATAGGTTTTGCAGGAAATGGATTTTCGATTTGTTGTGTTGTTTAATTAGTATTTAGTATAGCACATTAGCACCAAATAAATTTTCATGTTTTTGCAAATTGAATTTTACTGTAATGTAAGAAAAAAAAAGAAAAATGTTGAATGCATTTTTGGCAAAACACAGAAAAGAAACAAATTCAAATATTTTTTCAAAATTAAAATATTGGACTTCTCGAAATGTGAAAATAACCCACCACTTACAACACCCATAAACTAGAAACTTTTGTGTACTATTTAAATTAATTTTTCTTTAATTGATAATATTTTGTTGTATACATGCATGGCATTTTGGTTGCATTTAATAAAACAATCTAATAAGTTTAGATTTCGAGCGGAGCAATAAATGTATTGATTTTAAGATTATGTGTACAGTTTACGGCACGGATTTTGTAGTAGTAAAAAACTAGTAAAATTGATAACAGTATGTATCGTACTTAAAAATATCAAAAACTGCACATAAAAATTTTTAAAAATTGAACATGCCGTTACTTTAAGCTTACCTAAATGTTTAAATACTTAATGAACATAAATAATTAAAATTTTACAATGATTATAATAAATCAGATATAATATTATATAAATATTTTCACTAAGATTTTTATGCGAAACACAAACATAATTATTAAAATGTATTCCTATTTTGAGTTAACCTAAATCTACTGTTAACTATAATAATAACTGTGGTTTTCTATAATACCTGTATGTTCTTCCAATACTTATATGAATATATCCTTTAAAATTGCCAACATTACCTTAAATGAGTCCTGCAGCAAGCCTAGACATACTTAATCCTATATACAGTCATACCTACTCCTATATACGGACATACTTACTCCTAGAATACGTGTTACGTAGGAGCAAGGGTCCGATAAATTACCTGAAAGTGTTTGTAAGCAACAAGAAGATCGAGAAACCAGCACAAATCTTGCCGATCAAACAGGTAGTCAGCACCAATCCGGCCATCGCGGCCGACCAGGGAAGTCCGACGAGAATGACGTTCATTGACGTGTACTTGCACGAGGCGACTGACTACAGCGGCAAAAATAACCACGTGACCGAGAACTACGACAAGCGAATCGTCGGCGATGACAAAACAGTGACCAGATATCCGGTAGATGACGCGCTCGTGCAGCGAATGTGTTTGGACATCGCATCCGCGGTGCATCGGCAGATCAGTGAACAGACGATGTGTGCCATTGTGTCTGATACCACCGCGTCTGGGACCACCACGCACCGGAAGTCGGAGCAGCAGAAGAAGAAACAGCAGCAGAAACAAGAGCATCAGCAGCAGAAGCAAGAGCAGCAACAGCAAAAGCAGCAGCTCCAGCAGAAAAAGCAGCAGCAGCAGCAGCGAAAGCAGCAGCAGCAGCAGCAAAAGCAGCATCACAAGCAGCAGCAGAAGGATCAGCAGCACGAGCATCTGCACAAGCAGCAGGAGCACAGGCAGCAGGAGCACAGGCAGCAGCAGCAGAAGGAGCAGCAGAAGCCACAGAAGCGGCGGAGGCATTCGTTCCCGAAGGTGTCGCCGCATCCGGTTCGTTACATCGAGCGCAAGGAGTCGGGCATCGTCACTACCGGACCGGAAGACCGGTATAGCAACGACCCGACTGTTGCGCAAGTGACCAGCGTCGGCGTGGTCGAGGAGGACGTGGACGACAACAGGCAGGACGAGGACGTGGAGCAGTCTGGCAAAGTGTGGGAAGTGAACATGGTCGACGATCACGTCATGTTCAATTCGGCAAAAAGCCACGAGCAACGGCCGGAAGCGTTCACCGCCGCCGCCGCCGCCACCACCGTTGCCGACGATTATGACGATAGCAACCAGACTTCGTAGCGGCGTACTGCAGGCTTCTCGGTGCACTTGCAGTTTCGCGGTTACACACCACATTTTTGTCTTTTTTTTTCGTTGCATTTGTGCCACTACAATATTATAATTATTATTTTTACTATTAATATTATATTACGACTGTGTACATGTTAAGTTGTCGGTGAAATGCAGAGATGTAACAGCGACGCGAGAAAAACATGTACGTACATTAAGAAATATATAGTGTTTCATATCGTTATATGTTGTCCAAAACGTCTTTTATAATATACCTATAGCATCTATAACAAATGTCACCTCGCCAAAAAGTTAGGTTGAGATCATATACGTCATAAACACGCCGATTAGATCGAGTTACGCAACCTATAATAGCGTAACGTGTCGCTTCATACTTTGAAGTTCTAACTGTAGTCTACTAGTCCACAGTTATCATTCGTGGGTGTTATTTTGTTAACAAAATAGGTAAATTATCAATAAAATATAAAATAAAATACAAATGGTTTATCTGTCGTAATAACTAATACTGTGAAATGTTTAAAGAAATATTTAAATGTTCAGCTGCATATTAGCGCTGCACGCTGTAAGCGGGTGGGTAAATGGTTAAAATAGTGGGATATTTTGATGGGATTATATATGCTCCCGTCGGACCTGACTAATAATGTTATGTGTATATGTTTTGTTAACAAAAATTATTACTGTAAATACCTATGTTTTGACCAAAATATGGTGACTTTATGATGGCTAGGTGCTGTGTTTATTTGTGTATCAAATGTTTGATAACATAATAGTAATGTTTTATAAGAATCCAAGAGAAACACAATTAAATCAAAATTAAAAATATTTTTGAAATTGCAGGTACATAATAGACATAATCGAATGGTATGTGTTAAACAGAAAATTTAAAGTAGTAAACGTTTTTCCTCTACACCAGAGGTTCCCAAACTGTGGGTCGCGACCCAAAAGTGGGTCGCGATTATACTTTTGGTGGGTCGCACTATTTTTTTAAATAATACAAAAATATAATCATCTATTACTTTTCGTTGATGTTCAAAGTTCAAATTCAGTTTTATCGTCAATCCTTATCTGTGAGTATGACAATTACGAGTTTACCAGCGGCCGTGTCAAATACTATATATTATACTTATTATACATTTTTTTCGTAATTACATAAAATGTAATAAAATAGTTTAATTTTCTGTTGTATGGTAAAAAAAAAAAAGGTCATTCATTGATATTGTGGGTCGCTATATTTAAAAAAAAATTCAAAATGGGTCGCACAATAAGAAGTTTGGGAACCTCTGCTCTACACATAAATTAATGTATACTATAATTTATTCCCTTGCTACCATCATTTTTTGTTAATATAGAATCAAACTAGTGCGTTGGAATGGGAGCATCGAAATGTCTGGAATCAGAATAACCCAGATTTATCTAATAGATATTTTATGGAATATAAATATTTAATTAATTTTTTTGTTTTGTTTATATTATAAGAATATAGCTGTACATAAAACCACGGAGTCACGTTGGCGGAGCACCACATTCATTTGGACGTTCATCCACCAAGTCCTTGAAGGGGATGGCGTGACGTGGAAACATACTTTATAATTTCATAAAATAGAAAATAAAGATAAGATATTATAAGAAATTTAATGTTTAAATACATTTGGTAGGGGAGAGGCTCAAAACAATATAATTTGAGTTAGTCTAAAAAAGACAATTAAACTAGTTCTTTTAAAGGTTTCAGAAAACTGAGCGAAGGCACAACAGGAACCAGACACACCACGACACACGGTATTTCAAACTATGATACAAACATGACCGTATCGAATATAGTACAGAGATTAATATTTGTTTTTTTTTATAATAACAACTAAGTACAAACTCATCTGCAGAGGGGCCATATTTGTGAGAAGAAATTGAACGGACTAGGTTACTAAAAATAATAATAAAGAAAGGAAAAACAGGATATCCGGCGGGGTTACATGGTATTTAAATTTATTATAATTTATTCATAATATCTAAAGTCTCGATCCTTGTTGGTGTGGTCTAGTAAGGCTGTATACTAGCTGTGTTGATAAAAATGGAATGAATCTGTTACTACAGAAAATTAAACTGTAATAACTAATTAGGTTACAGGGTATTCATTATGAAATTGATGATATGATAGTTATAGAACTCATTTTTTTACGAAATTGCTCTTTGTTATCAATTTATCATAATTAACATAATATAAGTGGCACGTTTATTTGATGTCGTTAAACCAGTTTTATATCCATTAACATATACCTACTTGCATTGTTACCGGTAACTACTTATTTAGGCACTCAAACTTCCAATATTTGAATATTTCACAGTTTCACACTATCTGCGAGGAAGATGCATGACTATGAGTCCGTGGATTTTTAACCATTCTGAAGCCATCGCATAAAATTATTGATAGAATATTATACAATGAGTTATCACGTAAATTGTAAAACAAGTTATTAAATCAAAATAATTAAACAATTTATAGAAAAATTGAAAAAAATTGAAAAATATCATTACCTAACAGTAATTCAAAAGAACAAGAACAATATGTATAAATGTTATATTATGCTGTGATCGATTATTGAATTATCGACATATAATTGTTACTGAATATTGTCTTGCTACTTTGCTTGAAGGTACCTAGACGTTCAACTCAAATCACTGCTCCTATTTCTGTCCCTCATGACCTCATGCAACCTAATTGTTTATAACTAACAAGTCACTAAGATAGTTAATACGGTAATGTGGTCATGTGGATCTTAATTTTAAATTTTTAAACCTATATTTTTGTTTTTGTTTTTTTTTCCATTCTCTTTTAGTTATGATTATGGTCGTTTAATTCACTTCACACTACATACTGGTCGAAATATTCCTCTTAACCAGTTGCTCTGCAGTGTGGTCCATTACACATATTGTACAGATGTACACTATATATTACTACAAGCCTGGGCAAATTAATGATAGGTTTTAATTGAATTAGTTAAGTTGATATAAAACATTTGAAAAGGTTTTAAATTTTTATAGTTATCCTAGTTTTTTTTAACTTAGTTAAGTTAAAAGTTACATGGAAACACACAATATTAGCTTATCAACCGAAGTTATTTATTTTTTAATATACAAATAGTCAATTATATAGTTTTAAATAATAAAAGTAAATGTTTATGCAATATGCATCTTCAAAAATAATTTATTACACTTATTATTTAGTTACTTATAAATTAACGAAATTGGATTTGATTAAAAGTAACTAATTATTTATTAAGTCTGTACCTATATCAACTAAAATGAAGCCAATGAAAATTAAATTAAAAAAAATTTAAATTAATTTAACTTTAACTATTTACATTTGTTTATACACAGTCTTGCTATGTAATATGTTGTATATTTTGTATCATTCAAATGAATAATGAATAATAATAATAATATTTGTGACAGTGGGTTTATAATAATAATAATTATTATTATCATAAATATTATTGAGTAAAAATTGCACACACCTATAATGTAAATAGGATTCCAGCCCTTGGTGGTAAATAAATAAATAACAATCAAAGAAAATAATACACTGTGAAATTTGTTTTAATATATTTTTTCCTCGCTCAAGAGCAAAATTAACACGTTCGATTTACGGTCATTCTCGTCGTCGTCGATCAGTGGTACATGGGGTTGGACGTGTCCAGTTTGCAGGATTTGACCTTGATGCTGTTCAGGTCACTGTACAGTCTCTTCAGCACGTCAATGAAGGACGAATCGTTGGAGTCGCAGCAGAGCATGTCCTGCCGATTGACTGCGTCTTCGGAAGGACAGCAGTCGGGGATGCTCGGGCACGCACCCCCACAACCACCCATCATACCCCCACAGCCGCTGCTGACAGCACCACACGGGCGGGCCTCGTCGCGCATGCGGCACAACTGTCGCTCCAAGTCGGCGATCTTCTTCTTCTTGCACCGCAGGTCATCGGCTAGCGTGCAGCGTTCCCGCTCCAGGCGTTCGACCTTCTCGTCCTTGGCCCGGTTGTTCGACTCGGCTGAGTGCCGCAGTTCGTTCACTTGGCACTCGTTGGTCCGCACCTGGCACTTAAGCGACTCGTTTTTGGAGGCCGCCAACCCGTTGTTGCGTCGCGCTTCGGTCAGCTCTTCTTTGGCCCGGCACAATTTTTCCGACTCGGCGCAGTTTTCCTCCTTCAGGGCGCGCACTGCCGCCTCCCCCTCGCACTTCTCCCGGGCCATCGTCTCCCGCAGCTCGACTATCGCAGCCTCCAGCTTGTTCGCGTTTGACCTAAGCTCGGCCGATGTCCGGACGGCCGTATCCAGCTCGGCTTTGGCGACTCGCAGATCTCGTTCCTTGTTCTCCAGCTTTTCCGCCAGCGCACACCGCTCCCGCTTCAGACATTCTTCAGTCTTCTTCGACCGACACTTGACGTCCGCCGCGTCGGCCATCGACCGTTCCAGCGCACACTTGGCAGCACAGCAAGCAGCACACAAACGTTTGCACTCGGCCTCGCTCGCCGTCAGCGATTTCCTTACGTTTTCGCAGTCTTCTTCCTTCGTCTTGAGCGTTTGCTTCAGGCTGTTGACTTGACACTTCAATTCTTCCACACGAGCCTGAAACGAAACGAGTGGAAAAGTGGTGTCATATTATTGCACTTTATTATTCATTATACGACCGTTGGGTCGGGTTAGGTCATTATTTTATTCTGACGACGTCCAAATAGTGGGATATGAATTCGTGGTGGTGAAATAGATTTATATTGAAAATATTGAGTAATATGCAATAAATTAGCATTGAGTTATATGTGATTTTGAAGCCCTAGGTCACACGTTCTATGATGTCATAAAGAAAATGGAGTACGTTCGGGCAAGCATTTAGAATGGATTCAAAGGGTGTTTGAATTTTTCAAATACTGTGCCTAACGTTACACCCATTACATTTCCCTATTGCAGATATAAAAGATGTAAGATATTTAGGAGAAGTATACATTTTTATTTTCAAGCAAAGGCCAAGTCTCTGTCGAATAATGTCGTTGTTACATTAGTTTTAATTATATACTGCTCTGCTAGTCACAAACATATGCTACTACGTATATTAGGTAAATTCTTATTGTGTTCCAAAAATAAAGTCCCTTTATATGAAAAAAAGCCACTAAAAAATATCCAACGGAAAAAAGCTTAAAAAAAAAATTATATATAAATGTGAACACATGCATACACCACTCCTAATAAGTAATTAGTAATTACCGTGTGGAGTGTACCTATCACAAAATATAATATATTATAATGAAAGTAATGTCATAAATTATTAGGCATTTGTAATTTTTGTATAGATGTAGTATGTATTTACCTAAGATGTTATAAGTATACCCCTGATGTTTTTTGACTTATAACTTGTAACACTGTGTATTATATATAGATGAGTTCATATTTATATTTAATTTATTTTTACTATTACAATTAGTTTTTTTATATATAATTAATAATGAAGTATAAACCATATTCAGACTTAAAATTATTTATATTTGACTTTTTTCATTGAATAAATGGGTAAAACAAAATGCATCTTATTAATTGAGTATCTGCATATAAAATTGTCTATATTGGCTATAATAATTTATGAATTCTTAATTACTAATTAAGAGTAAAGTATAGGTACATGTGTTCACATTAATATTTAATTTTTTTTCTGGGCTTTTTTCGTGGACTTTTTATCCGCCTACCAATGTAATACAATTCAAACTTAGCTTGCTTTCACTCCACACTAATAATATTATTATTGACCTAGTTTATTCTTCGAACAATCGACATCAAATTTCAATCAATGTAATATGTTTAATGCATATTTCATACCTTTATATTCTCATCGTTATTTGCAGTATTAATATACATTAATAATATATTAATTTAATTAATTTAAAATAGTTTAATAAACAGATTTATAGTTTTAAATACCATGTTGTTTTGCTATGCTCGTCTTATGAAATCCGAATTTGTCAACACGCAAACTGGATTTGGGTTAACCGAACCATGCGTATCTACTAATATGTATACTATATTTTTAAGTAAAACTACGATACATTAATGTTGTTGTTATAAATGGATAATTTGACAAAACTCGTTACTTGTCGATACACGCGTCCGTGTATAATATCACTATTATTTGCATTCGCCAAATTATTATAATATTTAAAACCAACAATAATAAGTCGGGACATTTGTATTTGTAATATTACCTAAATAGAATCTTCTGCACCTATTGATGAAAGATCCGTAGGTGCATAATTCAGTCTCAAACGTGGCATTTCAAATAAAATTTATAAATTAGGTACTAGGTACGTAAAAAAAAATCGAAGTAGTGAATCTGATTTTCAATATAGAATATTTTTTTGACCGATATATTAGAACCGAAATTATTTCAACGACTGTTGCAATCATCGATGAGGAAGGGATGCAAACAGGGTCATCCACATTTTCACTGATTTCAACATTTTTGCCTTTTATTTGTTTTGTTCAATTTAATTATTATGCTAGATATATTTAAACAGAAAATGTATGTCCGCGGCATTATAGTGCATTACCAATATACAAATTGTTATAAACTCATTCTTATAAACGTACAATTACTTTTGAAACAATATTTTTAACTCAAAATAATCGGCGGGGGGAGGGGGTGCTAATTAAGGACTCGGGCGTGCTCAGCGCCCCCTGTCACCTCTGTGTGTGCTCCAACGGAGGGAGCTAATAATTATCTTAATTAAACTTACTTGAACAGTGCACAGTTCTTTTTGGATATTGACTTTACACGATTCCAATTTCTCAATTTCGGCGGTTAGTGCTTGTTCTTTCCGGATTAGTGTGTTTAGCTTCTCAGCGATACAGTCATTTGCGTTATGCAGTCTAGTGTTTTCGGATCGCAACATGCATTCTTGCACTTCAGCTTCTTTTATCTTTTGTTTCTGTTTTTTGATGATATTGAACACATCATTGTTCGATTGTTTCACTTTACAATCAACGTCTTCTATCCACTGTTGTAAATTGTGCAGTCTGCATTTTAAATCGTCTCTCTTCGAAATATCTTTGTCATATGTGAGCAAATTCTCCTTAAGTACGCATATTTGACTATTTTGACAAGCCAATTTGTCTTTCAAATCTTGTGTTGTTTGATCTCGTGACATCTAAAAGGTAAAAATATTAAACATAATTTTATTTTCCTCAAAAGGTTATTTAAACACATTTATACTTACATTAAATTAATTTGATAGAAATTTAAAAAAATTTTATTTTCGTTTACTGTAAGTTGTGTTTATAAAACTAATTTTTTTATGTTGTTTATAACAATTGCACAGTTTACCAGCCAGCATAGCTATTATGATATATAAAATATAAACAACATGTAAAAATAATAATACCATTTATTTCAATACTATATTTCACATATTATTAAGTAATAATATTACAATTGCATTTTTAATTATATTTTATATATTACATATATAATTTTACCTATACTGGTCCAGATATTACGAAGAAATAGTTATACAGCTATTAATTTTAGTCTGTGAAAAAATAACTAATTCTCATTGCTTTAGTATACATATTTTTCTAGGACTATCGTCAAACTGCGCTACGAAAAATAAACGAAACAAGTGATTGTTAAAATATATTGTTTGATACCTATAATAATATTCAAGCAAACAGTTTGAAGTATACATTGATATTACAATAATAAATTGGAACATTTATTGTTAGTTTTTATTGACATATTTTGCAGCAGGTTTTTATGTCTTCGGTCATCATTTAGATGACAACTATATGAGATATTATTGTTATTCATTGTAAATAAAATTCACAATATTTTCGTGCATGTTTAGTGATTCTCAAAAAGTCGTATGTAAACGCGAACAAACACACAATTAAATGCGGCGCACTTTGTCGACGCACATAATATACACTACCATAATATGACGTACTATACATTATACCTGTGTATGTGTGTGTGTGTGTGTGTGTGTGTGTGTGTGTGTGTGTGTCTATTATAATATAGGACGATCGGTCGCATAAGACTTCTTGCCGAAGGAAAAACGGCGTGTGCGTGTGCGGCGACGCATGGTTTCTCTCGCGTGTGGATTAATTCCAAAACACCGTCCGCATGCACGGTATACGCGGTATATGCCTGTATACCTCCAATATTATACATTATATGGGCACCAGTGGAATCTGTTACAATAAGGGTCCGCGGCGGCCGATCCTTTTCTCAAAGTCTGTATGACATGCGGGGAAAAAATAATAATATAACAATAATAGCATAATAGTTTCGTCGTCCCCGCGTTAAGTCTCTTTCTCTCGCGCGCACGCACACGCATACAGGTCGCAATATCCCTTTTTTCCCCCCCCCCATTATGTTCCACGGCGCGATTCCCAGTCACCTACCGGTCTTTGTTCGGATTCCCTTTGTCATGGTAATCGCGCCCGGGTTACTCGCGCGACGACCTCGACGTGGTCGCCGCCGCCACCGCCGCCGACGATCCGGTAAACATCGCGTATATTATTATTTTATATTATAATATTATCGTCTTCTCCGCCGGCGATTCGGTCTTCCACCGGATAACACGCGGCAAACCCTTTATTCTACCCTCTCTCTCTCTCTCTAGCTCAATTTTTTATTTTTTTGTCTATCTTACCCCGAACACCCGTCCATTGTTGACCGTGTGAAAGGGACGTGTTGTACCTGCGGCGTCGGTGGCACTCCCCGCATCCCCCCATGTGTCAATTGTACAGATGATGATAATAATAATAATAATAATAATAATAATAATAGTAATAAAAATAATACCATCTGTGGTCGTCCAGCACCTTTTCTTCCGCACGACAACGGCGTACAATCGCCGGCCGCCATTGTCGCGAGAGCCTTTGTTGCCACGGCGCGGACACAGCTCTTCCAAGACGCCGCCGCTACCATCGCTATAAGTAGGTAGGTATATATATGGTTATCGCACACTGCACAATAATATTATAACACTATACCCTAATATATCGTCGTCCGACCGTGTGCTTTTCATTATTATATCACCATAAGGGCACGGATTTGTTTGACGTCGAGCGAAGGGCTTATACGTCTTAAGCTCGTTAGGTAATTTCGTTAAGAATTTTCTAAGCAACGATAATGTATTGGAAATTATTTTTGATTAGTTATTCCTAAAGCACAACGCGTTACCATCTAGACCATGGTTTTCAAACTGGGTGCCGGGGCACACTGGTGTGCCCCGAGTATCCACTAAGTGTGCTTCGGTTTTTCCATAAATTATCGATTGCATTGAATTGTTCATCTACAAAAAAAAAAAAAATGGTCAGTGTGTCGTGAAAATTTTTTGAAGTGTGCGGGGTCCCGTGTATAATAAAAGTTTGAAAACCACTGATCTAGGCTACATGGATTGTGATTTAATGAACGTATACTAACTTTAAATTTTAACTCGTCCCTATAGACTTTTAACGTTTCGAATATATTTTGGACAACGCATACTTATACTTGTACTGTACTTAATTGAAATGTAATCTTCTCTAAACACCCACAATCATTTTTATCGACAAGTAAAATCATTTCAATTATACTCATATTATATATTGTATAACTTGACCAACGCCGTAATCGAACAGTCTACACCGCGGGTAACTTGAGATATTTTTTACATTATATTCCAACCACGATTCTCGAAAAACACGCAATAAACAATGGATGTATGTACGATGCGTGTCGTCGTGTTAATTTTCAGACTCGATTGATCGACCGTCGACGACCGATACAATTTTATTCGGGCAATGGTCGATCCGAGCACGTCACGTCAATTATTCGGGTTGTATGGGCATTGAATTTGCCATTGTGAAGGGGATGTTTGGGGGATGTTAAGGGGTTCGAGTTAATTCAGGCGTGCGAACCTATCGTGGCTTATTTTATCGAGCGTATGTCATTCTACGACCGTCTCGAAAACGTATTTGTATAATAGCCTGCACATTTACACACGCTAAATAAAAAAATCGATCTGCGACATGTTTTTACGCTGTTATTATTACACACAACCGTAGGTACAAAAACTCGCATATATAGAGGTACGTATACATATTATATATACAACCTATAACAAACGTACGTATAGGGATTGATATTGTTTGATTTTAGACGCAGAGCTGAGCGAGAGAGTTACACATTTATTAATTTATTATTATTATTATATTGGTTTTACAATGACTTGTGTTCTTTTACGGGTTTGCGACCTGGTAAAAAAGCTCAAAACACCTATTCATCAAAAGCTTTACACACGTGTATTGCTTTAAGGGGTTGTTTTTCGAAAAAATAAAACGTTAACATAATGCAAGAAAAAACTCCATTTACAGACAAATAATGAGTTCATGCGGAGAAACCTTACTACGCGGTATTTTTAAAATAACTATACAACTAACTTCTTAGGACTTATAGTAAGCGCGATAAATTGATCACAAAATCATTTTTGCTTTCAAATACAAAAAGATACTTTTTCGATAAAAATTATTGTATACCTTTGACGCACATAATATTATATTATTAAAAAAAACAAAAATAAAAATAACTATGATTAATCATTGGTCATACGAATATTATAGCAATAATTTAACTAGACTTAGTTTATACTTCAAGATCTCACGTTTATAGATTTAAAAAATCTATCCCTATAACTTTCATGCTCTAATGAAAACATTTTATTTTGCAGTGATTACATAGGTACTTCAACAATCAATAAATCAAGCTTTCAAAATAAGAAGTTGGTAGATAGTTATACACGTGGTTTGTGAAATTTTGAGTACAAAGCATTTTTGCTTTTTGTAGTTTTTGATAATCCCAATATCAACATAAATACAATAATCATTTAGAATGTAAAATACATTATTTTACAAATACTTTTTTTAACTAAAGAATTATAAGTAATATCATTCGATTTAGAATAATTGAACAATGTTTTCATAAAGTTAGTAAGTTATTACGATTAGAACAGAAATATATTTTACCATACTGAAGTTACGGCACAAAACAGCCAACAGGTTTACTTTTGTAAAAGTTTTTTTTATTAAATATGGATTTTCTGGATAAATCGCTATTTATACAGTATTTTTGCTAATGAAAAACAACTAAAACTAATTTAATAAATTAACGCTGTACATTATTTTAATTTTTTTTTTCCATTTACCACATCTTATAATCGTTTAACGGCAGAGTAAGTATGAAGGGAATATACTATAATGTAATATATCTACAGTAAAACCTCCCCTCACGGATACCTCCCAATAGCGGACGTTTTCACGGGAACCAACTACAAACTTTCTACTATCTTAACCTTCTGAATAGCGGACATCCCCGAATAACAGAAAACATTCAGCGACCGAAGGTGTCCAGTACTTAGAGTTTCCATTGTATTTATCATTCGACATCAGGGTTTTACGTTTCCAATAATATTTCATTGAATTTTTAACGTTTACTCGAGTACAACGACTAATAAACACGAAGGTCTTAGGCTCATCTGCTGCAGTCAATGTATAACGATATTCTTTGTCAGTTTGTCGTACACATGCGTGTCAATAGCAATAATAACAAACGATTGTTCGGGCACAAACGAACCAAAATATATTAAAACATTTACACGGACGGCGTCTGTTCTTTGTGTTCCGATTTAAAAGCTTGATTTTCAGTCACCGGCGTGTCTACATATTAAAAACATGGGCTTATGTACCTACGCAAGATATTATAATATTGTTATGAAGATATTCTCACCACACGACGTGGTATATTGTCTATTACAACCACCGCCATAATATACTATATAGTAGTACAACCGTGTTATTTATACCGCAGTCCACGGATTAACGATGTATAACAGCTGTGTCGGAGGCGAATGTTTAGAAAATATATTCGACGGGAGAAGGGGGTGGTGGCAACAAAATATAATACATTAGTTGTGACTTACGATCAACTAGTAATCATACCTACCTACTTAAAAAAAAAAATAAGCTTACAATAAAATAAATATTTCCGACAGAAAATTAATGAGCAAAAGCCAAAAATTAAATAAATGCTACATTACCATTTATTGTTTAAACAATAACACACGAATATAGAAAATTGAAGGGGCGGGGTTCCTTTGCCCCTCCC